GAAGGAGCCCTTCTCCGGTTCCAAAACTTGGGGAGCGGTACACTCCCCAGCTCACAGAACTGCGGTTAGACCATAGCTCATCATCTTTGAGTGTCTCAGTACTGGAATAGCGACTACTTCCTCGGGAGCCACCCGGGCTGGCCAAGTACGCAGGAAAGCTCACCTTAGCCACACGGAAAGGTGCTCCCCCAGTGTCAGACATAGGCCTTAAGTTCTCTTGGGGACCTGGGACGTAGTGCTGCGTGCCAGTACCCCCCCACTCCCGGAGTGCCTCTTCCATAGAGGTTCTTGGAGACCTCGGAGGTTCGAGGCTCTTGACACCCCCTGCTGATCCCAAACCGCCCGAATTTAGCTCGCTACTGTCCTGGCTACAGCCATGAACCAACAGAGAGCTTCCAGGCCTGAACCCTCTTCCTCTCCAGCGACGGCCATCCTCACCGTCTGCGTCTTCGTCACTGCCCGAAGAGTGGCCGCCGAGGTAAGCTGGACTCTGAGGCCCAAGTTGTGGCTGCGGTCCCTCCTCTTCCTCCTCGCTGGAACTAGCACCCTGGCTGCGGCTGACAGGATAGGAGGAGGTAATGGTGGAGGAGGAGGAGGTCCGGGCCCCGGCCTGCGGTTGGGAGAAGCTATGCCAAGAATGTAAACCATCCGCCGGACGCTGCGCTCTCCCCTGTTGCTGCTGCTGCCGACGCCGCCACCCCTCGATCCCCGGCCCGGACAGCGGCATCGCCGAATGCAGGCCAGCCAGAGGGAAGCACGTACGAGGAGGTGGCGTCGGAGGCTGCCGGGGCTCGCGAACTGGGGGTTCCCACGAAGCTCCGTCGGGGCTGGTCGTCCCCGGGGCCTCAGAGTCCACACTGGGTCGCCTGGAGCTCGGGCCGCCAAAGAGTTTGCGCATCTCGGTGACGCTGGGCCAGGCCCCACGGTCAGTGCTTTCAGCGGCTTCTTCTGTCGTGCCGGGGTAGCAACCCTCGTCCCGAGCACCAGCGGAATCGTCGTCAAAACGCACCGCGTCGAAGCGCCGGGACAGCTGGCGCACCGATGGCGAGAGGCTGCGGAGCGGGCGCGGCTGCGCGGGGGCGGCCGGGGGCCCCGACGCCAGCTTGGACACGCGCCGGGAGGGCTGGCCCGGGACTGCCGCAGCTGGCCGGCACGAAGCTCGGCGCCGTAACCCAGGGGTGTCTGCGTCCTCTTCTTCCCTCGGCCCCGGTCCGCCGCTCCAGCGCTCCAGCAGTTTGAACGAGACGCTGCGATAAAGTGGGGGCCGAGGTGACCCGTCCGCCATGGTGGTGGCAGTCACTCCGGGGGGGCTGGCCTCGGGGCCCCGCGGCCACCCCCCCCTGCAGCCCAGCTCCGAGGGCGCGCAGGGGCCGCGGTCCGACAGCCTGGATCCTGCACCCGCGGCGTGCGGCGGCTGGATAGGAGGGTGCGGAGAACTAAGCAGAAGTTTATCAGTCGAGGATCAAGTTTCTGCGGCTGCGGACAGCAGCGGCTTCATCCTGGACGGCCCCTCTCGCCCCAGCGGCGACCCCAGGCCCAGCCCTTGCCTCTGCGGGTGCAGACAGGGGCATCGCGGCCCGGCCGGCGAGGGGCCAAGGCTTGCTTCCTGCTCACAAAGTCCGCCTGCAAAGCCCGGCGGCGGGCCTGCCTCTCCCCCCCACCTCCCCTAGCTCCCGCTCCAGCTCCCTCTCCCTCCCCCTAGACTGCTCGCTCTCTGCCCCCTTTTGTTGCAAATAAACTTTGAGGCAGAGGAAAGGGGGCGGGGGGCGGGGCCTGGCGCCTAAAAGAGGGGGTGGTCTCCGGGAGCGCGCGCGGCTGGGAACACTGTAGGGGGAGGGGAATCGGGGAGGAGCCGAAGGAGAAACGAGATGCTTGAACATTCGTAGACCTAAACGACCCTCTAGAGGATTCCCTCGGGAAAGCTGCGGGCTGATCCTCCCCCAGGACTCGTTCGGATACACGGGAGCTCAGAGAATGGACAACTCTGCAGAACGCAGCACCGCGGTTCAGCCTCTTTCACGGGGAACCTCTGCCGGAGGGGCTCCAACATGGCAACCCAAGATGCACAGCTTCTAGTACACACCGATACTCAGGTACACGCAGAAACTCTCCTGGCCGGAAAAGAGGTGGGACCCAGGGTGACGTGGGCGGGGCAGGCCCTCCCGAGCGCTCCAGGCGCCCCACCTTGCTCAGGCCACGCCCCTCACCCACCCTTCAGCGGCGAATCCGGTTGCACCACGCCCATGTTCCGCCCCGCGCTCAAATGCTCCACCTATATCCCACCTCCCTGTGGCCTGTCCATCTCTGACAGTCCCTTAACCCACCCAATGTTATTCTAGAATTCCCACCTCTCAGGACTCTTACACATAACTCAACTCCCCCCTCCATTTTCCTAGCCGCCACGCCCCGCACCTACCCTTTAAATCCTGGCAGCGCTAATCTCTACACCCCGCCTTCCCCTTCTCCCTTCGGTCCGGATACGTGGCTTTTGCGCCCTCTGCGGGCCGTATTCTCCGCTCCTTCTGAGCTGTAGAGATAAATCTCATCCAGAGTTAGGAAGGTTTGTTTGTTTCACTTGCTTTCAGGTGTTCCCCGCCCCCTACTTTGCCAAGCACTCTGCCCTTTCTGCACAAAAGGAGTTGGACGGGAACGCCCTCAACCACCAAACCTATACTCCTACCTGCGGCTGCTCCACCCTCCGCCCTCCAGACCAGGAAGGTGTAGGTCTCTACTGCTTCAACAATGATCTACCCTAGAGCTCCCCTCCCACCTCTGCTGCAGACTGGCAAGTCTAAAATTTTTTTGGTTACTGGGGCGTCAACTTCTTCCCACCCTCATCTGCTTCTGTTAGGTCTCTCTTTGCACAGACTGTTTAAATGTAGGACTCTACATCTAAATGAGTGAGAATATATGGACTGCCTAGGATGTACGAGTAATATTTTATGTATTTTATTTAATTCTCATGCTACCCTTCTTGGGGATAAATGCTACTGAGGAAGTAACAATGGCCTTGCAGAAGTCGGAGGGAAAGGGCAGCTCAAATGTGTGGCTGATTCAGACTTTAAGGACTGCAATCGTCACACTTTTTCAGACAGCTTTCCCTGGCTTCAGATCTTGATGGGGAAGGAGGGTCTGTCCCCAGCAGCTCTACCTCTCTGTCAGTGGGCTGTAGGCAGAGCTCAGCCTCCTTGGGAACAGAGGACAAACTCCTTCAGCACTGTTATGTGGAAGCCCTATTCCTCCCACGCTGGCCTCATAAGCAGCTAAGGTCAATGGTGCTGGCTTTACCCAACCATATCAGCACTCAGTCACTCAGACAGCGGTGACTGGATGTGGAGAGGGCAGAATGCTGGCTGCAGGATAGGGGAGGGCAGCTTTTAGCAGGACCCTAGGAGCACTTGCCGCTCACACAACCTCAGGTTAAGAGGCTATTTGTCTTTCTTCTGGACCACCCGTTTGTGTGTAGGAAGTCTCAGGTGAGGAGGCCACCCTTCTGAGCTGAGATCAGCCTTCTCCTGCCATTCCCTTACCCAATTTTATCTCAGTTCTTCCTCAAAGGTTGTAAGTGGTAAATCTTGTCCTCACCATTGGCAAATTAGTAGGCAAGGAAGAGATCCCTGCCAGGTCTGTGCCTCTCTGCTCTACCTTGCTTGGTGATAATGAATAAACCTCCATGCCTTTCTGGGCCTCAACTGCCTTGTCTGAAAAGTATGGATTTGGGTCAGGTTTTCCCCAAACCTGACCTGTGTGTATGGAGTCACTGTACCCCTCCATAGTGACGGTTCCTATGGCGTGATGTGTTCTTCTCTTTTGTTGTATGGGATCAGACCTAGGCCTTTGGGAATGCTTGGTAGTCACTCTCCGGCCCAGCAGCAGCCCCGTCTCCGGAGTGTGTGCTTTTCCACGCCCTACACACTGGGAAATCTTGCCTTTGTGTCCCTTCTGAGACAGGCCTTCATCCCATGAATGGGCAAGCTGATGGAGAGGAATGGAGACTCAAGCCACAGGCCTTGCCACCTTTTTTTGACTAGAGTACGCTAGCCTGGCCTCTGACCCCACTTGTGAAGACAGAGAATATTTAAGAATCTTGGCTAGGCAGAGTAGCATCTCACTCCAGCCTCTTTTTATTTTGCTTTATGTGTATGGGAGTTTTTGCCTGCCTGTATGTGTCCCGGGTTCCTTGGAGCTGGAGTTACTGAGAATTGTAAAATGCCATGAGGGTGCTTGTGAGCTGAGGCTTCTCATCTGTGAAGAATGAATGAACACCATGGCTAGTCACTCCCTCCGCAGGTAACCCTTGGAGGTCAAAGCTGTAGAAGTCCTTGGGAAAAATCAGTGTGGAAGGCTGGATGGCCAAGGTCATGTGCAGGATGGGCCTTGGAAAGGAGCTACCTGAAGGGGAGAGCTGCCTTCTGATATCTTGGACATTACCAGTACCTACCATATTAGACCTAGAGTGGATAGGATTTATTAGTTAGCATCTCTTGTTCGATTTGCTTTCTTGTCAGTTGCTCGGTTGACTCTTACCAAAAACAAAACAGCCAGGATCTTTATAGTAACTTTGTCTCATTCCTGTGTCCCATCGCTGAGGGACAGCCTCAGACTAAGATCCTTGCTAATCAGCATTCATAGTCTGTGTGTGTGTGTGTGTCTGTATGTATCTATCTCTCTCTTCTCTCTCTGTGTGTGTCTGTGTGTATCTCTCTCTTCTCTCTCTCTCTCTCTCTCTGTGTGTGTATCTATCTCTCCTCTCTCTCTCTCTCTGTGTCTGTGTGTGTATCTCTCTCTTCTCTCTCTCTCTTTCTTCTCTCTCTCTCTCTTCTGTCTCTGTGTGTGTGTCTGTGTGTGTATCTCTCTCTTCTCTCTCTGTGTCTGTGTGTGATCTCTCTCTTCTCTCTCTCTCTCTCTCTCTCTCTCTCTCTCTCTCTCTCTCTCTCTCTCCCTCTCTCTCTCTGTGTCTGTGTATCTCTCTCTCTCTCCTCTCTCTCTCTCTCTCTCTCTCTCTCTCTCTCTCTCTCTCTCTCTCTCTCTCTCTCTCTCTCTGTGTCTGTGTATCTCTCTCTCTCTCCTCTCTCTCTCTCATTGTATTATGTGTTGTTAGGATTGGACCTGAACCTCAGTCATACTAGACAAGTTCTATACCATTGAACTATGTCTCCGGCACATGTCTTCTCCTCCTTTTGAGACAGGGTTACTCAAGCTGGCTCCGAACTCATTCTGTATCCTAGTCAGGTCTTGATCTCCATTCTTTGGCCTCAGCCCTTCAAGTAACTAGGATTATAGGCTTCTGTAACTGCTTTAGGTTTTTGGAATATGTGTGGGGTCCGTGGGTAAAGGCACTTGTTGCCAAACCCGACTTTCTGAGTTTGATCAAGAAAACCAACTCCTGCTGGGCGGTGGTGGTGCACGCCTTTAATCCCAGCACTCATGAGGTAGAGGCAGGCGGATCTCTGTGAGTTTGAGGCTAGCCTGGTCTAAAAGAGCTAGTTCCGGGACAGGCACCAAAGCTACAGGGAAATCCTGTCTTGAAGAACAAAAAAGAAAAAAAAAAAGAACAAAAAAGAAGAAGAAAAAAGAAAACCAACTCCTAAAGTTGTCTTCTGGCCACCACACACAAAATGATTTTAAAAATTGAAAACAATGCAAAGAAACAGTGTCATATCCAGGCTCACCTCCAGCTAACTATGTATTCTGAGCTGGCATATACTGCGAACCGTTGTGCCCACTGTAGTTCTTCATAACTTCATACAAAGAGCCTTGTCTACAGAGAGTTTGGAGAGACTTCTTGTTCCTTAATAGTATACTGCTAAGGTTTACGTGCTGCGTGTTGCTGTAATTAATTCTAGATGCATAAGCTACTCTAGCGTATTGATACATTGTCTTAATGGATATTCAGATACTGGCAGTATCAATGAACTCCCGCATAACTCTGAGTTCATGGACAAAGGTGCGTGTGACAGAAGTGTTCAACCTTAGGAGGTGCCGTGAAAGCCAGGATGGAACAGCCCTGCATGGTTTTGGGTAATCCGGGTTTTCTGTTATATGACATGTATGTACTTCCCCTAAGCATCAAACCACACTGGGATTGACCCTTGCAGGTCTTCAGCCATCTGGAGGATGCCTCCTGGGTATTTCTAACCGTAGTTCTTCGTTCCCTGCAGGTTCCAGCCTATGTCTTGAACCCTGTCCCAATTAAATCACTGCTTTGCCCTTTATCTGTGTGATGAAATCTGACTAAAGGGTTCATTTTGACCGGGGGGTGGGGCATGGCCTAAAAACAAAAGCAAAATAACAAAACCCACAAAATTACATTTATTTATCTCTCTTATGCAAAAGTTTTGGAAAATGAATGGGAACACGAGCCTCCCCTAGCTTCTTGCTCCTTGTAAGAAGTGGGTCCCAGGGATCAAGACCTTGCCTTCATGTTCAAGATCATGCCCCAGCCTTCCCCTTCACCTTGTAAACAAGAAGAGTTGGGGGAAAAGACCTTTATTGAATTTTGCAGTGTTAAGGATTGAGCCCAGGGGCTAGCACACTCTAGGCATGTGCTGCTGAACTATAGCCCCAACTCTGGATTGTCTAAGACAGGGTTTCCCCATGGATCAGGCTGGCCTGAAGCTTGTTATCCTCCAGTCATAACATCCTGAGTTCTGGGATAACAAGCACGAACTGACCAGCCCCTGAAATACAGGTGTCTTAGCTTTGTGGTTGATGTAGAACTTCTTTAGGGCCGGGCCCAGGCCTGTTGAACCAAGTTTTACTTCTCTGTAAAATTTGAGCTTGTGGGGGAAGCTTCTGGCACCATGGCCCCCATGGCAAATACGCAGCTGCCAGTGCCTCAGGGTTTGCCTTGGGGCCTCAGACTCCGCCTCTGCCACTTGACTGTGAGCTTCTGTAGGAGCTCATGTGGATGCCGCCGGAACTTCTGCTGTGTGAAGTAGAAGAGAACAGGGTCCAGTACACTGTTGGCACTGGCAAAGGGCCGGGTGCCTTTGTAGGCAGCTGCAAACGTCTCCAGTACAGGGCAAGAGACACCGGGTGTCGACCGCACGGCCAAGTAAGCTGTCTTGGTGATATGGAAAGGAAGGAAACTGATGGCAAAGACAGCCGCCACCACCACGGCCATACGGGCTGCCTTGCTGCGCCGCTCTTGGGCCACAAGTCCTACTGGGCCATCCTTGCGGCACAGGCGGCGGGCCATGCAACAGTAGCAGGCCAGTAAGGCTGTGAAGGGCAGCAAGAAGCCGATGACCGTGAGAGCCATGCCATAGGGAAAGTAGCGGGTGGACAGGATGGGTGGGCTCAGGTCATAGCAGACAGTGCGGTTGCGTTGGATGCCCGTGGCAGCAAAGACTGCAGTGGGCAGGCACTGAGCTGTCACGGCCAGCCACACGGCTCCACATACCACCCAGGCAGCACGGCGACCGCCACGCTTGTGCCAGGGGGCCAGCGGGTGGCAGATACCCAGGTAGCGCTGGAAGCTGATGCAGGTGAGGAACAGGATGCTGCCATGTAGGTTGGCATAGAAGAGAAAGCGCACGAGGCGGCAGGCCAGGTCTCCGAAGGGCCAGTGGTCCCCTCTGGCGTAGTTATAGATGAGTAGGGGCAGTGAGCAGGCATACAGCAGGTCTGCCACTGCCAGGTTCAGGGTGTACACAGCCGAGCGCGTCAGGGTCTGACGGGATGCGCAGATCTGAGCGATGACGCAGATGTTCAGCGGCAGGCCCACCACCAGCACCACTGAGTACACCGGGGGTAGCAGCAGTTGCTTGAAATCCTCACGGTAGACACACGTAGTGGGTGGCAAGCCTGGTGTCTGGATGGTGCCATTGTCCCGCTCCATTACGGCCCAATGCTTTTCCTATGCCTGGAGAATCTGGGGAAGTAAAACACCCTCTCAGTGCCATGCTCACGAGCTCACTTGGCACTATGCCTTGAGATATACGAACAACTAAGTCCTTAACTTTGTCTCCTCTTAAGGCTCATTGTCCCATAAAGATCCATAGAGAACACCTATGGAAATGTGTATTCCAATGAAGCTCAAGCTTGAGAGAAATCAAAGTCATTTCGTTTCTCTAGTATTTCATTTCCTCTCGGTATTCCTAGTGAACTTCTTCATCTCTCACAACCCTAGTCAATTGTCTCTTCTGTGTGTGTGTGGGGGGGAGCGGGATTGGTGGGTTTGAGTTCAAATCACAGCTGTGACCTTGGAGTGGGGATTTACCTCCTCACTCTCCTCACAGTGCATTCGGTGCAGTTTCCTGTGTCCCTCCCTTAGCAGGCCGGGGCTCTCTGACCACACTGGCAGAGAGAGTTTTGGCCTCACATGGATGAAACTGTAATGGCCTCTTGTTTCTCCAGCCTCGGGGGAGACTGGTCCTTCTAAGACTTCATCCCCTGGGAAGGAGCAAGAGCTGCAGAAGAAGGCCTCTGAATAGGCCTCTTATTGGAGGAATAAGAATGTTGTCGTTAAGTTAGAAGACTTCTGAGATCTCTGGGGGGTAAGACTGTGGCAATGGTATGTACCTGTCTCATGCAGATGGAAGACCTTTTATGAGGAAGTACCAGGTTTGGTGTTTCTCTACGTCCTCTGTTCCTCCACGTTTCTCTGGTGGCTCTTAGTTTACCTCTGTGGACAGTGCACACACTGAGAGCTCACGGAGGAAAACGCCAATGACGCCAGCCTGAATGCCACCTTCAAAACCCATGTTCTTTCAGTCACAGCTCATCTGTAAAACAGGAGGTGACTCAGGTGATCCAGGAAACTTCCTTCCAGTCGACTTTAGTGGGTGGGAGTGGGGTTGTGTGGGAGAGTGTGGGGTAGAGCCTGGAGCAGCTCTGGTTGATCACCGCTGCTCTAGCACCCAAGCCAGGAGGCCCACACTGTCTGAACACGAATGAACATACCCAGGCATACATGCGGATGGTTCAGCAGTTAAGAGCACTGACTGCTCTACTAGAGGATCCGGGTTCAACTCCCGACACCCACATTACAGCTCATAACTGCCTGTAACTCCAGTTCCAGGGGCTCTGACACCCTCACAAAAGCATACAAGCAGGCAAAACTCACAAAAGGCATAAAGAACAAGCAGAGGTGGTCCCTGGTGGCCAGAGGGAAGCTCCAGTTCTCAGGGGAAACCAATCAGGAATCACCCTGACCAAGCGTTAGAGAGGTGGAAACTAGATGTAAATGTTATAACTAAATAAAAAGCTTTCCCAGGAGAAATTTATCCTGGCTGGGGACGGTGTTCATCCATATGCAGTGGCATTTCAATTGTATTTTAATAAATAAAGACTGCCTGAAGATCTGAGAGTAAAACAGTCCCACTGGTCAGCCTTACAGACCAGGTTATGGTACCACACACCTGTAATCTCAGTAGCCATAATGACACGCACCCTTAATCCCTGTAGCCACACTAGTTGCCATAGAAACTGGGCAGTGCATGCCTTTAATCCCAGTGGTGCACACCTATAGTCCTAGCACTAGAGAGGATTATAAAACGAGAGGAGACAGCTCTCAGATGCAGTCTCCTTCTGAGATTCCTGGAGGCAGGATCACCATTTCAGACTGAGGCAGAGGTAAGAGCCAATAGCTGGCTGTTTTGCTTCTCAGATCTTCAGGTTGAACCCCAATTTCTGACCCTAGTTTTTATTAATCGTGCTTCATTTGGTGCCCAACATTTTAGGGCACAAATTTACGAAGAAGCCATTTGCCTCGGTCTTTCTAGCCATGAGTCCAAACCGGAGCTGGGATTGAAATTTCACCTCTAGGAATTGGAACCCAAACCTAGCTACCTTGGTTCAAGAGAAAAACTAACGCTCCCAGCTCCCATCTGCCTCAGCTTAGCTTCCATGTAAAGACAGAAAATACACAGAGAGTCTGGATACTGTATGTTATTGTGTTGTCTTTGAATTGTTAGACTGCTGAGGAAGGAGCAACAGCTGCTAAAAGACTTGATTATAAATACTGCTGGATTAATGCAACCTACATATTTTGAAAATGCCTTGACTTCAAAATTTAAGTCAACGGATATGTTACTTTGAAGAAGAGATTTTGCTTTTGTTTCCACAGGAAGTAAGAGGCTGTGGATTCATTCTGGATTAAGAAAAATAAGGTTTAATCAAAATGCCTTGGCATCAAAATTTAAGTCAACGGATATGTTACTTTGAAGAAGAGATTTTGCTTTTGTTTCCACAGGAAGTAAGAGGCTGTGGATTCATTCTGGATTAAGAAAAATAAGGTTTGATCAAGAAAGACCCCCTGAGAAATCTCCAGTAGGAATAGATGGCCCAGATGACCCGATGTTTCACAGTGCATTCGGTTCAGTTTCCTGTGTCCCTCCCTTAGCAGGCCGGGGCTCTCTGACCACACTGGCAGAGAGAGTTTTGGCCTCACATGGATGAAACTGTAATGGCCTCTTGTTTCTCCAGCCTCGGGGGAGACTGGTCCTTCTAAGACTTCATCCCCTGGGAAGGAGCAAGAGCTGCAGAAGAAGGCCTCTGAATAGGCCTCAGGCACCATCTGCTCCCTGACTACACTCCACGCTGTCTCTGAGGACCAAGAGCTGAGTGCTCCCCTCCTGCAGGGGGTGAAGAGGGATCCTTTGACTCCAACTGTGAGCAGTAACTGACTTTGGCTATCATATCTGTCATTCATTCTCGGGCCCTAAGGCCTAGACTATCTCAAATCACAGCTTTTTTCTGGACTCCAGCTATGCTGCCTGCAATAGGAACCCCTCAAGAGGTTCCTCTGCTCTCGAGGAAACTCTGGCTTTGTCCTCTCCACACTCCTCTCGTTCCTGCTCTTCCTCAGTTCCCAACACTGCACGGCCACTGCAACAGACCTAGCACCATCGCTGGCCTGTCCATCTGTGCTGATCTCATCTCGGCCCTCCTTCTGAGTTCCCAGCCATGCCTGTCCCACCCGGCACTGGCCCGTTCGCTCACGGCAGACTCACAAGCAGCACCCGTCACCATCTTGGGTCCGTGGTACCAATGTGCTGGGGCGAAGGATACTCAGACACGGGCTGCCCTCCATCCTGTCCTCAGCCACGCTGTAGCACCTCTGGCTTCACTTTGGACAGCTTCCTCTGCTCCCTGACCCTGCTGGCTCTGACTGAAACAGCCCTTGTGTGTGCAGGGCACCTCCCTGCCACTCCCACACCTTAGTCTGGCAGAAACAGCTGAACAGAAGGCATCCTTCCCAGAACTCTGTCCAACCATGGGAGGAGGGCACAAAGGGACTTAGCTCTCCCTGTGTTCTCATCTGTTAAGTGGGTTATGACAGTTCCCAGTCCTCCCTTAGCTGTAACACCTGAGCCACCAGGAATCCATTCACTTCTCTGATCCTGTATCCTGTACCCATCCTCCATTTTCCATTCATTTGGTAGGTCATCTACTAACATCCCTGTCCGCACCTCTCTCGAGATGGCAATCCACTGGTAAGGTCTGTCCTTACCCAGCTATTCTCACACTTCCCTTCCCACATGCCCCTTTGCCACAGCCTTTATTAAGCGCCTACTGTTTGTCATCAACTCCCCCCACACATCCCTATTAACAGTCACAGCACAAAAACCCAGGCATGAGAGTGGGTGTGGAGAGGGTGCAGAAGAGGCTGTGGAGCTGCTGGGACAACGGGAGCATGAGAGAGAGGATGAGAGATGGCTCCTCGCGGTTCTTCAGGGAGGGTAACCTGAAGATGGGTTTTGGTGGGGAGCCACTGAGGCAAGTGGGTGGGGGGAGGGCAGTTCAGGGAATGGATCCAAGCTGGGCCTCTGTCCCACTGCCTCTCTCGGCTGCTGGCTACAATGTGACAGTTGCCACCTGTAAGTTGAAACACCATAGGCAAGGACTCTTCTTACTCTGTCACTTGTAGAAGTGACATCCATGCAGAAGCTTACCCCAAGCCCACTTTACAGGACTGGGGAACCAAGGGAGAGCCAAAATTTTGAACCAAAGTGAGATCAAGGTTGAAGAGCAGGTAAACACTTGGCCAGCTGTGTATAAATTGGGCACCTAAAGGAGATCCAATCTTACCTTCTTCCCAGTAGTTAGGTCCTTGTGGTGTTCCCAGAACAGTCTCCTGTGGCCCAGGGCGGTCAGGGTTGAGGCAACTTTGAAGACCTAAGGGAAGATGGGGTGCTGGCCCTGGAGCAAAGCATGGGTTAACATGCCGGGACTGAGGTGGTTCCTGCAATGAGAGCCTGAAGCCATGAGACGGCGCTAGTGGACAGCTGACGAGGATAAGACTAGGGCCCGTGCTGCAGGAGCCTCCTGTCAGGCCGGCGCTGAGCAAGCCCCATTCCTCTGGCCCTCCTCAGATTTCCTCTTATTTATCCACCTCAAGAAGCTCAGGCCTCTGTCCGAACCTCACCCTTCAATGCAGCTCACAGCAGCCATTTGCGTGTCCAGCCCGGAGTATCGCTATGATGCCGCATCTTCTGCCCATCTCTACTCCAGGTTCCAGCAAAACACTGTAGCCCTCACCCCACCGAGGGACAATCTCTACTTGCTTCCTTTTCTTAGTCCAGATCACAACTATGAGGTCGGTTCTGCAGCACCGTCAACGGAGTGCAGACGCCAGGAAGAACTGACTCAGCGCTCATGGTACCCTTAGATCCCGGAGTCGCGGGACGCCCTTTGACTGGTCCTCCGTGTCTAGAGGGGCGAGGAAGCCTGTGGGACAGAGGCAGGAGCTGGAAGCCTGAGTCACCACCTACTAACATTCCCTGCTCCCGCTGGACCTGAGATGAGGCTTCCAAACTTGGACTCCCTGCCTGCTGGGAAGCCACGCTGGGAAACCCCCTTGCTGTATCCCAGCCTTGTGAATTTAGCAGCAAAGGTGCAGGATGGTGGGGTTAAGACTTGGCTTCCTTCTTCTGAGTCAGGCTAAGACCCAGCCTGCTGTGTGGCTTAGAGCCTGCTATCCAACCCCTCTGAGCCTGAGAAACTTAGGGTTCCCTTCCTTACAGGGTTACACCCTCTATTCCAGGTACCACCCAGCCCTGACCCTGTGTGGCATCAGCCTGAGTACTCAGGAGCCCACCTCCAGACAGACTGAGGTCGGTTCCTTATGCCAGTCCCTGGTACCTGGGGGACAGTTCTGGTCCCACCAGGCTACAGTTGGCAAAGCCAGCACAAGGCAGCTGGCATCTGCTTTCTCTTCTCTCTTTTTACTTCCCCTTCCCCCTCTGTGGAGCAGGGACCAAGTGGAACTGAAAGCTCATTTTGAGGATGAAGAGGCAGCTGCAGCCTGGGACTGGGGCCCCTTCCTTTGTTTCCTTGGGTAGAAATTCCATAGCCCTCCTTCTGGGACCACAGGCTCTGCCATCCCTTCCCCTCACTGTGGACCCAGTGACTGCTCAGCTCTGAGGACTGCAGAGCATAGAGCCCCAGGAACCAGGCTTCCGGTGATGGTGGAAGAGAGGGCTCAGGCCTAGCACTTGGCCTGCCCATGTGAGAGGAGTGGGATCCTTGGGTCCCATGACCACCTCAGGGATGGTGGGACTCCCCGCTAGGCACCTGCAAGTCCAGTTTGGAGTTCTGACCAATGGTTGAGAAGGAGAGAGATGTTGTCAGGCTTGCAAAGATGGGAGGAGTGAGGCTGGCGTTGCCACAGCTGCGGGGACTGTGTGCCAGGCATGATGCTATGTCCTGGAGCTACCACCACGAGCAGCGGGCTGTCAAAATCCAAGGGTGGCAGAGTAAGGACAGGGAGCACCATGGGGCTTCTGGGTCCAGCTATGCCAAAGGCTTCAGCCTTCCACTAAACTGTGGTGGTACAAGCCAATCAATTCTTGTTTTGCCTCAGTCCACTAGACCCGGGTTTCTGTCCTTTGATATCAATCATCCAAAACTAGGTGTGGTAGTGCAGGCCTGCAATCCTTACACTTGGGAAGTAGAGTCAGGGGTATTAGGAGTTCAAATTAGAAAGAAGAGCTGGAGATGGAGCTGTCAGTAGAGTATTTGCTTAATGTTAGTTCACCAAACCCTGGCTCCAGTTCACAGCACAGGCATGGGGAGATGGGAGCTGGAAGATCCAAAGTCTAAGGGCGTCCTCAGCTATGTGAGTTCAAAGCCAGCCTGGCATACATGAAATTTTTATCTCAAAAAAGAAAGAAAGGAAGAAAGAGAAAGAAAAGAAGGGGCTGGAGAGATGGCTTAGTGGTTAAGAGCTTATACTGTTCTTTCAGAGAATCAAAGTTTGCTCGCAGCCTTCAAATCAAGTGCTCACAACTGTCTATAACACTCGGGAGTCTGCACTCTGACCTCCACAGGCACCCACAATCATCTGCACATACCTATACACATATACATAGTTAAAATGTGTATGGTTGGGCGGTGCTGGCGCACGTCTTTAATCCCAGCACTCGGAAGGCACAGGCAGGTGGATCTTTATAAGTTCGAGGCCAGCCTGGTCTACTAGAGCTAGTTTCAAGATAGGCTCCAATGCTACAGAGAAGCCCTGTCGAAGGAAAAAATAATGTGTATGTGTATTTCTGGACAGGTTTTCTCTGTGCAACAACCCTGGTTGTCCTGGAACTCATTTTGTAGACCAGGATGGCTTCAGACTCACAAAGATTGCCTGCTTCTGCCTCTTTAGTTTTGGGATTAAAGGTGCAAGTCACCACCACTTTGCTTTAAATATATATATATATTTTAAATCACCATCTTGCCTGTAGTTCTGACCTACAGTAGGGCCTCCATCTCCTCTGACGGAGTTTTGTCCAGAATCCCATCATCTCTGCCTGGGAAACTAGAAGAGGAGAGCAGGTGGGGCAGAGGAACTGTCACCTGGGGGAGCACGGTGGCAGTTCTCAGAGTGACCACGGTCACCTCAGTAGCTCTTGGTGGGACAACAGAACCCATTTGGGCTCGACTTGCTGTATGTTCTAGAAAGGTCACTTTACATCCTTGGGTCCCCATCGTCCCTGATACTCACTGCTAATTTCGTGACTGTCCAATGGAAGCCAGAACTGGGGTAAGGACTCTGGTACCAGGATCTTACATGGGATGGGCTGTGCTGGTCCCACTATACAGATAAGGAGTCAGGTAGCTGTGGTTGGGATGTGTCGCCCTCAAAACCTTGTGTTAACAGCTTTGTCCCCAGCTGGTAACACTAGACTAGGGCCTGGATGGTGCGGGCATTGACCTTCTCTATGAATTGGCTCTCGCACAGTTCCCGTTGGATGGGTGAGTAGATAGGGACAGGTTGGAGGAAGTGGGTCAAGAGGGTGAGACGTTAAATGACACGCCTTGTTCTCCTCCTCCTCGTCCCCCTCTCTACCTGCTGGCCGCCACAGGGGAGTGGCTTTGTTCCACCATGCCCTTTGCTATAACGTTTCTGCATTGCTGCAGGCCAAGAGAGGGCAAGCTTGGAAACCATGAACCAAAATAAATCCTTAAGTGATTGTTCCTCAGATTTTGTCACAGGGATGACGAGGCTTAGACAAGTTGATGACTTGTCCAAGGTGACAGTGAATCAGTGGCCAACTGGGAGCTGGATGCAGATTTGAGTAACGATAAAGTCTGTGCTGGGAAGAGGGGTGACATTTCCCTACCAGAAACCTGAAGCCAAAGTGGTTAGGAGTTTGTCATGTACACAATAGACCCCTCGTGGCACCGTTTCCCGGGAACAGGTTAAAACAATGGAGGTTAAGAGTCAGGGCCACGGGTCTGGATCAGAAAGACTTCCTCCCTCCCTCCTACTTTGTGAGATACTGGACACAAGACCTGCTTTGCTTTTCGGTCTCCAGCTCCCTGGAAATCCTGGATAAGTGAATCCTGCCCATGAATATAAGCCACAGGGCTCTATCCTCTATACCATTGGTTCAGTCAATACCGTGTGTGTGTGTGTGTGTGTGTGTGTGTGTGTGTGTGTGTGTGTAAGCCACGGGGCTCTATACTCGATGCTATTGGGTTCAGTCAATGACCGTGTGTGTGTGTGTGTGTGTGTGTGTGTGTGTGTGTGTGTGTGTCTGCGCATGCACGCATGCATGCCACGGGTCAGTTTTCTCTTTCCACCACATGAGACTGAGCTCAGGTTGCTTGGTGACCATCACCTTTACCCACTGAGTAATCTTGACTGATGACATATTCGCTGGGGGTTAGGGGAATGGCCATAGGAGTTGTACCTCTAAGCCTACCTGATTCCACAGCCTGTTCACACACATGGTCTGTTTATTGCCCATTTCAGAGACTAGACACCGAGGCTCAAAGGTATCTGGTTCCATGCAAGGTTCTATGTGTAAGACTAGGCCAGAGGGATCCTCAGAGGACCCCTCACTTCTCATGAGAAGCAGAGTCCTGTCTGAAACCTGCTGTAAACATCCCTCACATCTCCTAAAGCCTGAGCCCACCTGACAGAGACAAGACGTCCTCTGACCCTAGAACCAGGGGTCAGTGGCAGACTCAGGATTCTGGACTTGCTGAGCCAGACCGGTCTTAAGATCATCTGAGAACCCCTCTTCTCCCCCAAGAGGAGACCCCTGAAGCCTCCCAATGACTTGTCTGGTCCCTGTTTGCATACTCCCCTTGACATGAAGCTCATTCCCCTCCCAGGTTACCATAGGTTGGTTATGTTGAGAACCCTCCCTAAGCTATGCTTCTAAGTTAGCAGCTCTCTCCAGCACAGCCTGCCTCCGGGACCTAAGACACCCTGGGGAGGTCATGCCAAGATCATTTATCAGCAGCTCCTCATTCCCACCCCTGGATTCTGAACTCACATCCAGATCCAGGAAACCTGGGCCGCACACTCGGTTGACAGGAAAACTTCAAAACAAATCTTGTGGCCAAATGTGATACATACTTGGAGTCCCAGTACCAGACCAGAGAGGTAGGCATTTCCTTCTGTCATACCTATGGAGGTGGAAGAGGGATTTGTAGATGTCTGAGGCTGGCCCAGGAGGGACATTAGGAGGGTATCAAACCTGACTCAGTGTGAAATGGGGGAGGCTGTACGGTGACTTGTGTCACTCAAAGGACACTGTCTCTGGGAGGTTCTCTTCTGCCACTCTAGCTAAAATCACAGCCTCCTACATATGTGTGGGATTTCCCCAATCCGTTACACTTTTCTTCTCAGTACTTTTAGGCTTTTATTACTACATTTACTTATTTATATATGTGATTTTTAATGTCAGACCACAACTTGGAAGAGTCAGTCAGTTCTCTCCTAGTATGTGTGTCTAGGAGACTGACCTTAGGTAGGCCTCGAGGCTAGCTCTGTTACCTGATGTCATCAGAAATCCCCTCTTCACCACCTCCTTCCTTCCTTCCTTCCTTCCTTCCTTCCTTCCTTCCTTCCCTTTCTTCCCCCCCTCTCTCTTTCTTTCATCCTTCCTTCCTTCTTTCCTTCCTTTCTTTTGCTCTTTCTTTCTTTCTTTCTTTCTTTCTTTCTTTCTTTCTTTTTTTCCTTTTTTTTTTTTTGGTTTTCTGAGACTGGTTTTCTTTGTGTAGACCTGGCTGTCCTGGAACTCGCTCTGTAGACCAGGCTGACCTTGAATTCACAGAGATCTGCCTACTTTTGCCTCTCAAGTCAAGTGCTGGGGTTAAAGGTGTTTGCCCTCATTGCCTGGTCCTTTTTTTTTTTTGAGACAGGGACTCTTGTAGTCCAGGCTAACCTCAGACCCACTATGTAGCTGAAGATGATTCTGAACTTCTCATCCTCCTGCCTCCACCTCCCAGGTGTGTGCCTCCACACCGAGCTCGGGCAGTCTGAGAATGGACCCAGGGATTCCATTGGTAGATAAACACTCTCCCCACTGAGCTGTACACCATTTGTTTGTGTTTTTAAAGCAGGGTGTTACTCTGTAGCCCAAACTGATCTGGAACTCGTGGTGATCCTCCTGTCTTAGCTCTTAAAGTGCTTGGATCTCAGGTGGACATTACCATCTTTGAACAACTGTTCTACTTGTTTGTAGATTTATGAGATTTGCCTTCTCCACCGAGATGTAATCGCCAGGCTTTCGCCCTTCCTTGGGACAGTGCCGGGCATGCAGTAGGAGCGCACCAGTACTTGTGGGAGAACTGAATTCCAGGCGTGGCTCAGGTACATGTACACCGGCTCGAGGAGCAGAAGTCTGTTGGGAGGTGCAGAGAGTCTGCAGTATGTGGTTTGGGGGACCAGGATCAGCAGAGATGGGTGTGTGTACAGACTACTCCTGGAGTTGCTTGTCTGGCTTTCTGAGCAGTTTGGGGCGGGAAGAGTCCCAGCTGAATGGAAAAAAGGCTGCCTGCCTTCCTCGGCTCTCTGCCCTGTCCCCTGGCGTCTCTAGGCCTCTCCTCTCTAATCGAAATCTCTTCCAGGCACCCAGGCTGGCTTCTGTCTGCTCTGCGGGCTCCCAGATTCTAGCTTTTCAGATTCACCACTTCCAGCCCCTGGCACAGTAGCACCCCAACCTCTCTATGCCACCTGCACCCCACTCCAGGACCCAGACCTACGTGTACACAGCTAGTAAGTCGCTACCCCTTAGCATGACACCGTTAGGATGGTTCAGCCCCACACCTTGCTAAGCATGGCTGGAGGACGTGAGGGTCCCGCTGTCTGCCCTGTGCTCTCCTGGTCTGGCATGAACTCACTCCCCTCTCCTTAATCTCTTTTCTCACTTCTACACCTTTGATCCCAGCAGCCCTCAGATGAGCCAGGTTCAACTTCCTGTCACCTAATACACCATCTGCTTCTCCTTCCTGCTCCCCACCACCCCCTCTGTTGTACCCTTCCTCCTTAGCTCCCCCACGCTGATTCCTTACCCTCAGCCTGCACTTCCTCTCTCTCCGGCTGTGCCTCTTCCTCCTTCACAGTCAAGCTTGTGAATGAATCCTCCACTTCCCGCCTGCACCCGATGCTCACACCCCCGTGGTCAAGCACGGGGCAGAGTGAGGAGAGACAGCGAGCTCCCAGTCCCCTAGATGAGACCTCCAGAATGCCCTGACAAGCCTGGAGGGGTGAGGGGCACAGAGGCTGCAGGTGAAGCTGATGTGGGGCCCCGTGAGGAGCACTGCTCTGTGGCTTCCGGGAAAGGCCTAGCCCCTGCCTGGACCTTATAGGAGGGACATGGGAACTTTAGAAAGAGGTGACTGGGCTGGGTGGGCATGGTGGAGCATGACTTTAATCCCAGCGCTCAGGAGGCAGGTGCATCGCTGTGCATTTGAGGCCATTTTTGGTCTACATTGTGAGTTCCAGGACAGCTAAGGTTACACAGAGAAACCCTGTATTGAAAAACAAACAGACAGACAGACAAAAACAGAAAAATGAAAGAAAGAAAGAAAGGAGCAGCAGGAGCAGCAGGACTCTGGGACTAGGTGGCTCTGTGGTTCCCTCTGGAGGAGCCCTCGGTTGCCCTGGAGGGACCTTTGCACCTCTGTGTCGCGACCCCATTCCCACTGCTTTGGTCTGGCTCCCTTCCAGGAAAAGCAAGGTACCGACTCAGGTTTCTGGGAATTTGGAAGCTTCCAGTACTTGATCCCCCTTGAGGCCCGTGTAAGTCATCTGTCTCTGAGAGCAGAGCGATGCCCCTAGAATTCATTTGTTTGCCTTTGCAGGAGAGGAAACTGAGACCAAGGGCAGACAGGCATTTGGTTCTGGGACAGCACAGTCATCTGCTTGTTGGGGTGGGTGTCTGGGCAGCTGGCTCATGAACCCCAAAGACATTGAGCTGGGGCAGGGCAGAGTTCAAATGGTAGCAGTCTCTGGCCCCGGCCTGACTCTGGCATTCAGCATGGCTCCCACGAAGCTCTTCCCTCCCCTGATAGGCTTTGTCTCTGCAGTGGCAGGCCGGACAGGGAAAAACAAGAAAGAACCTTGAGCCGTCTGTTCCAGAGTACTGTGGACCTGGTCTGATTTCTTCTTGGGTGCTGGAGCTCAGGGTCATATCCAGCCAATTGGAGTTGGGGTGTGGTGATGTCATCAACAATACCAGCTTTTGGTGTCCTGGTCCTGCATCTCCCCGCCCTCCTGGCATCAGGATGTGTGCTCTTGTCTTGGAGCCTACAAACGTGACCAAGTTCCCAAGTCTTTACGCGGGGAGGGGAAGGGACAGAGAGAACCTATGGAATGGCACGAGGAGGACAGTTACTGTTTAGTTTGGGATCGCCTCGGTTGGAAAAGCATTTGTCTTGCATTCTTGAAGTCCTGGGTTCAATCTTTAGCACTGCATAAACCGTGCATGGTGACGCACATCTGCAGCCCTAACACTGCAGAGGTAGACCCAGGAGGATCCAGAGTCAGCTACACAGTGAGATTGAGGCCAGCCTCACAAAACACTATTTTTTAAAAAAAGTCCTTCCATCCTACCAAGAAGAGGCTCATAGCCTGGAGTCTGTCCATTGCCTTTTTCTTGTTGGGAGCACTGGGCCCTGCTTCACAGCAGCCCCCAGGCTCTGCTAGTCCTCTGTGTTTTCACTTGTCAGCTCATCCTCTTTCCACAAGTCAGCAGACCTGGCTCAGCAAAACCCTGACATCCTCACTAACTTCCCAAGGGCAAGTTCCACATAATCCAGGTTGCTGACTTCTTTTCTTAGCACCCACCCACCCTGTCTCTCACACGCAGGCAACATCCCCAACCCCTGGGACCAGCTGTGCTTGCCTCGTTCTGTGGGTGGCCAGTGTGTTTCCGTCCCTAGCCTGCACTCGTCTCATACTGGTGGCTGGCAGGCTCCCACTGAAGGCAAATGCATTGACAGGGAAACCAGGCCCTGCCCTCGGGAGCTTGGTGTGGACAGGAACAGACAGTGGGGAACTTAAGCAGGAAGGGGTTCTGCAGGCAGGAAAGCCTCACCAAGGAGCAAGTGGCAGGGGAACAGCTGAGTGAGTCAGGAGGCCAAGGGCACTTCAGGCAGTATAAACAGAGGGCAGAGGGCCCTGAAGGTGGCGAGCAGAGCAGGAGAAGCCAGGCAGTATACTGGCAACTATGGGTAAAAGAGGCAGAAACTAGAGATAAGCATGAGACAGATGATTGGAGCTTATGGTACCCATTCCAGCCTCATAAGAGCCTGTGAGATAGGACTCGTTATCTCCTCGGGATGAGAAACAAGACACACAGAGGAACGGCCCTTGACTGTGAACTCCAGAGTCCACATCACCATGGCTGTGCTACGGAGGACCTGAGATGGCGGAGACAGCGGCTCACCCTTTTTATCAGTTTCGGATCTCCATAGGAGCTGCCTCCTCCAGGGAGTCTTCAGAACCAACTAGAAGGAATCTCCCTATATCCATGGAAAGTCCACCATGAGGGTTGTCCTCTGACCAACCTGGGATGCCCATCAGCTTCCTACATACCTTCTGCCTCTCCAGGGGACCCAGAGCTGACCAATCAGAGCAACCCTCCAAACCACTCACCAGTGACCAATCATTAGACTGCCTCAAGGATTTTTCTGTGCCTAGCTTGGAAGACTTTCTCTCTTTTCTCCTAGGCTGTCATGAGAACAGTGGGAAGAACTTAAGTGAGCATGTAGAAACGCAGTGAAGATAGGAGTGAGAACAGAAAAAGAGAACCAAACCTTCTGTTACGTGAGCTGACAAACTGATCAATTAAACCAGCCCTTGCCACGCTGACACTAAATACACAGGTGATGGCAATGAAATGGGATTCATTAATTTCATCAAAACTGGAAATCTTGGGCTGGAGAGATGACTCAGCAGTTAAGAGCACCGGCTGCTCTTCCAGAGGCTCTGAGTTTAATTTCCAGCACCCACATGGTGGCTCACAACCATCCCTAATGTGATCTGGTGCCCTCTTTTGGCCTGCAGACAGAACACTGTATACATAATAAATCTTAAAAGAAAAAAAAACTTAAAAATCTTTGTACAAAAAGAAACATTATTATCAGAGTAGAAAGCTCTGCAAAATGAGAGATGGTATTTGAAAATCTTGTCTGGTTAGGAGTTAATACAGGTTCAAGGCTAGCTTGGTATGCAGAACAAATACCAGGCCAGCCACGGGTACATGGAGAGACCTTGTCTCAAAACACAAAAACAAACCACACACACACAAAAAGAACAAACCAAAACCAAAAAATCTAAACTCAGTGAAGAACTTAATGAACATTTCTCCAAAGAAGATCTCCAAGTGGTTAGTAAGTACTGAACGGATACCCTACCTCACTAATCATCAGGGGAACGTGAATCAAAGCCGAGAGGTACCCAGGACAATGGTTATCACTGAAGCGGGGATGAGCACCAAGGAGATGGCTCAGTCAGTAAAAGTGCTTGTTTCTTGAATACATATATAAAGCCAGATGGAGGTATGCTTCTGTGGCCCAGCACTTCTACGAGGACAGGAGGAGAGCCAGGAAAATGGCTGGAAGGTTGTTTCTATGCAGCGCAGCAGAGGAAACAAGAGAGGATGCCGCCAAAACAGAGTGGAAGGGGGGAACTGACTGCAATGAGGTTGTGTGTGCTGTGGCTCATGATCACCTCCACCCACACACCCACCAGTGTGAACACACACACACAACACACACAATAAATAAATATTTTTAAAAAAGCCCCAACCACAAACTAGAAGATATCATTTGATATTGACGAGGAGATGGCAAAACCTGAATTCCCATTACTTGCACAAACGTAAAATAATACGGCCACAGTGGAAAAAATAAAAAACAGTACGGAAGTTTCTTAAAATAAATAAATGCACACCCCAGGATTAGCAGATTGTCTAGCAATTCCACCTCTAGAATCCAAACCGCAGTTTTAAAGAGGGAGGAAGTTCTGATAATGAACGGTAACATGGATGAACCGCGAACATATTGTGCCCAGTAAAACAATGGACACTTGTAGCTACAGGAAGAACTGCGAGTCCACAGACCCAGGGCAGTGGGGAGTCATGGCTTTCTGCGTCCAGAGTACTCTGTGCTTGAGAGCAGGTCTCACTGTGTGGCTGCGGCTGGCCTCAAGCTTGTGTTGCAGCTCTGGGACAGATGTTGACAGTTACCGCACAATAATGTATATGTGCTGAATAGGACTTGTTGTGTGTTCCCAGGAAGGGTTAAATGGGCTGGAGAGATGACTCAGCAGTAAGAGCACTAACTGCTCTTGCAGAGGACCTGGGTTTAGTTCCCAAAGCCCACATGGTAGCTCACAACCGTCCATGACTCCAGTTCCGGGGCATCTGATACCTTCTGATTTGAGGTGCACATATGATGCATTTACATACATGCAGGCAAAAACACTCACACACTTAAAACAAAATAATACAATCTAAAAAAAAAATTTAAAGTGGTTAAGCTGGGGGTGTTGTCCTGTGCCTGTAACCTCTCAAAATCAGGCAGTCACTGAAGGGTTACCACAGGTTCAAGGCTAACCTGATCTGTGTAACAAATTTTAGCCAGCTGAGCCTACACTGTGAGACACTGTCTCAAAATAAGACAAAACCAAACAAAAAGTTAATGACATAAGTTTTTTGTGTATAGCTTTAAACAAATTCACAATAAAACAAACAAAGGGAGGAAAGGATGCCAGCCCTGATGCCAGCCCTGACCAGCACGTCTGCCCTGGGGACAGCTCTTCATTGGTTCAGCAGCGCTTGGTGGAGCTCATGAGCGGAGAAACAGCGTTGGAAGATAGTGATAGTGTCAGGTTTGTCAACTGTCTGGTACAGGAAAGATGTCTTCCTCTGAGTCAAAGTTCAAGCATGCTGACTGCCCATCACAGAAGACACAATGTCTAAGCTCCAGATTCCTTTTTTGTCCCCCAACCCATATACACACATGTATTACTTGGCCACCTTTGTCTTGGTCTGTATCAGCTCAAAAGCTGGTCCAAGAGCTGGTATTCTGCTCATCCCTGGTGCTGTGAGGAACTAAGTTCCTTAACTACCAGCTTTATGTCTTTGTCCGGCATCCATGAAAGTGGAGCAGGCCCCTCACAGTCTTGATTCTCTTTGCATCCGAACCTTGGAGTGTGTGGGGGGCATAGAAAACGTATTTTTATGATGCAATGGTCCTTCTGGGACTCTCACCCCTGAAAGGTTAGCTTCTCTAAGGATCCATCACGATCCTCTTCTTGGAGGCTGCTTCTCCTTTTTCACATCAATTGCCAGGAAACCCAGTGATGCTTCTTAGGAGTGCAATTAAAGAGTTCCTCAAAATTTAACCTAAAATTGTCATATAAAGCAGGAGTTCCACTCCAGGTGCACACCAAGAAAAGTGAAAATAGCTCCACAAACCAGGCACAGTGCCAACTCGCCATAGTAGCGGCACTCGAGATGCTGAAACACAAGAACTGAGACCGCTTGAGGATGGACTGAGATGCAGTTTCCAAACAAAGCGAGGGACCGGAGAGAGGGCTCACTAGCCAGGACTGCTTGCTGCTCTTACAGAGGGCCCAGGTTTGGGCACCCTCATCAGGGTGATCACAACTTTCCCATAACCTTAGCTCCGAGGGATTCAATGCTATCTTCTGTATCCTCAGGTACCTGCACACACACACACACACACACACACACACACACACACGCACGCGCGCACACACACACATGCTATATATATAGTAAATGTATATACATTTATATAGCAAATATATATTTTATATAAATATAAATATATATTTGCAACCCTTAGGCTAGAGAAATAGCTCAGGGGTTAAGAGTACTGGTTGTTCTAGAGGACCTGGTTCAATTTCCCAGCAGCCACAAGATGGCTCACAACCATCTGTAACTCCAGTTTCAGGATCCAGCGCCTTCTTCTGCAGGTGCTGCACACAAGTTGTAGACATACATGCAGGCAAAACCACTTATACACATAAAATAATACATTTTAAGCCTGCACTGATGGTGCACACCTTTAATCCTAGCACTGTGGAGGTAGAGGCAGGGGGATTTCTGAGTCTGAACATTTAAGATCCAAACATAACACAGCAGGCAGTGAGACTGGCCCCAGGTTTTAATATCTTAGGAGTCTCGTGTTTTGCCTCAAATTTCAGCTCTGCCCAGACAGAATCCTCCTCCAGGACCCGCAAGTCATGTTAAATACATGTTCTCATTTTGCCTGCCCTAGGAGCCCATTTTACAGATGAAGAAACTAAGATGCTAAGGGTTTAATAATGTGTATGAGAACCACATGACTGGCAGGTGCTGGATTCCAACCCAGCTGTTTCTCTTTCCCCTGGACTCAATGCCCCTTAGCACCTCTGCCATCCGCACTCAGGACCCCAGGACCCCTATTTCTCTGATGTGACAGAGACAGCATTTCCCTCACTCTGGATTAAAAGCTACTTTCAGTGTCACAGGACAGTCCCACCCTGTCCCAGGCCATGGAAACCAGTGCTGCCATGGGATGCCTGGCTCAGCTGCGCAGACTTTGTTGTTGTTCGTTACTCTTATTTATTTGGGTATGCATGCGTTCACATGCATGCGAGTGCCCATGCATGTGTGCATGTGTTCATGTATGTGTTTATGCATACACGTATGCACGCATGTTTGTGTGTATACATGTATGCATGCATGTTTGTGTATGTGTGCATGTGTTCATACATGCATATGCATGTGTGTGTACATGTGTACGTGTGTGTGTGTACGTATGTGTGTGTGTATGTGCCACAGCATATATCTGGAAGCCAAAGGACAAGTTTCAGGAGCTGGTTGTCTTTCTGTCATCGCTCCTCCCGGGTCCCAGGGATTGGACTCCGGTGAGGATCTGCAGGAAGTGTCTTTACCCACTGAGCAGTCTCACCAGTCCACGCTGCAGACTTCTTGCACTTGTCCCCAGCCTATGAGTGCTTAAGCAGGCAGTGGGTCTCTTAGTTCCCGGGGCTCTGGTACCCAGCAAACGGCTGGGCACAAAGGGCACTGATGTAGTCACGCGTGCCTGGCACAGGGCCTGCCTCCCACACAGCTGGTACCATCAGATCAGCACTGAGCAGGGAAAGCTGGCAGACATGTCATGCCCACAGGCCCAGGCCAGGGTTCTGGCCCTAATTAGACACCAACAGTCAGAACGGAAGAGTCGGATTCTGGGCTGCCAGTCCACCCAGACAGAAATGGAAAGCTGCCTCCGAGACAAATGGGGAAATGGCCCAGGGACAGGCGCTGAGGGGGCCTGTCATGCAGACACATCCTGTGGACTTAGTTCCAGAAGAGTTGTGACTGGCCCCAGGCCCTTTGCCCAAATGGGAGCCTGTCACAGACTGTCAATTCCTTCTTCCTGCAGAGACAGGAGAAAACTCAGCCTGACCCTAGGTCTGAACGGGGCTGATCTTCCCTCCACCCCCTAAGGGCTGAAATTACAGATGTGTGCCTCTATCCCTAGCTTGATTAATTTACTCATCTGAGTTATATTTTTGTTTTGTTTTTGAGACAAGGACTTACTCGATAGTCTAGGCTGGTCTTGAACTCACTATGGAGCCAGGCTGGTTTTGCACCATGGCCACCCTGCTGTGGTCAGAAAGGTTTCTGTAAGCTCCAGTTCATCCTGGCTGCGCACATTTCGTGGAGACACTTGCTGTCTCTTGGGTACTCAATAAATTAACATGGCTGTGTGTTGCACAAACGTGCAGAAGCCTAAGATTTGGCATCTGGAATCTTCCTCGTTGCTCTCCACTTTATTCATGGACATGGGCACCACTGGGCCCAGGCCTCATTAGCACAGCTATCCTGGCCAGCCAGCCTGGCACTGCCATAGTCTTTGAGCTCCGGAATTACTGGGGGGCTTCTTTGCTTACTTGGGTTCTAGGGATCTGAATTCCCATCCTCACACTTGTCTGGCAAATGCTTTAACCACTGAGCCATCTCCCCAGTCCCACACTTCCAGCTTGGGGTCAAGGGAGTCATTTCCTCTTTTATTCTGTTGTTCACGAGGCCAAACAGCCCACATTGACCAGGCTGCAACAATGAAACTAAATTTTGGAGTTAGGAGTTGAAATCCAGTATTACTGCTAGCCAGCTGGATCCCCAAATCCCGAGACTGGCATTTTCCCTCACAGAATCTTCTTGTCTGTAAAATGGGATACTAGTAGCACCTCTAGCAGACATTTGATATCACAAAGATTCAATGGGACAATTGAGGCTCCAGGTCAGCTCTGAGCCTCAGAGGGAAGGTGGCAGCTGGTGGACCTCACAGAGGAGTCAGACAGATTGCCAGCCCTGCCGATGACCTGCAGGGAGCTCCCAGGGGAGTCTGTAGAAGCAGTCTAAGAATGAGGCAAGAGGACAAGCTAGAGACAGCAGCTAGTGCTACTTTCTAGTCTGTGGTCCCTGCCCCCTTCCTAGGAAATTGACAAATAGTAAGGAAATATCAAAAAAGAAAAAAATATAGAGTCTCATTTCTCTAGGCTGGCCTGGAATTCCTTACACAGCTGAGGATAACTCTGAACGTGTGACCCTGTGCCTCTACATCCTGAGTTGTGGGGTGTTGACTGCTTACCACTGATGGAGGAAGGACATTGGTTAATTATAATAAAGAAACTGCCTCGGCCCTCATAGGACAGAAAATTAGGTGGGTGGAGTAAACAGAGAGAATGCTGGGAGAAAGAAGCTGAGTCAGGAAGTCGCCATGGTTCTCCCACTCCAGACAGACGCAGGTTAAGATCTTCTCTGGTAAGCCACCTCGTGGGCTACACAGAATATTAGAAATGGGTTAGAACAATATGTAAGAGCTAGCCAATAAGAAGCTGGAACTAGCCAGGCCAGGCAGTGTTTAAAAGAATACAGTTTCCGTGTAATTATTTCGGGCATAAGCTAGCCATGTGGGCAGTCGGGTGCCGGGGACGCAGCCCTGCCGCTCCCTCCTTCAACAGAGTGGCGCCCAGACGTGATGGGCTAAATCCACTTAAAAACCTGAGAGAGCTTAATTTAAAACAAACAAAAAAATTATGGGACTGGATGTTTGTGTTCCCGCTTGGGATCGGAGGAGAGTGCTCTGAGACCATGCCGATGGTTCAGCGCTCCCTGCCTGCACCTGGGCAGAAGGCCGAATCAGGCTTATGCAGGTGGAAGAGCATGGCGGATTCCCGCCACCATACAGAAACTGCGCAGACTGCGCAGTGCTCTGCATGTCAGATTTTGCTGTAACTTGGATGAAAAGAGTTTCTGTGTCGCACGGTCAGTCTCAGAGTTAAACTGCTGACTGCGGCGCCAATGTGGCGTCTGGAACTGTGTGGCTCAGGGGCACCAAATGGCTCTGAGGCAGGAGTGGCTGCACCTTGCTGAATTGTGCTGACCTCAGGCAGGAACTACCGTAATTGCCATAATAACAGCGCAGTTAAGGTTTAGACTGGGCAGGACACAGGCAGTACCGTATTACCTGTACATGGTGCAACTTAAGTTTTTAAGAACTGCTTAACATTTTAAGAAGTGCTCCTGGATAGTAAAAAAATTACAGAATCACAATAAAACAGATTCAGACAGACCACTAAATGAATCACAATGTTGGATGAGTGTACGTAGGCTTGAGAAAGAAAAAAAAATAGAGAGAGAAAGAATAGTTAATGCCCTTAAAAAAAGGGGGTAAAGTCTTTAAAGAGACAGAGTACAGATAGTTATAGATTAAGAGAAATAAACAAAAATAAGCCACGTAAAAATGGAAAATTCATAGAGAGTCTGGATTATGTACATTGTGTTTTCTTTAAAATTTTTGACTGTGAAGGAGCTAAGTACAGAGAGACATTTCATTACATGGGCTGCCAAGCTAAACCAAAATGGATATAAGGGTATTATGATTTCAAAATTTGGATCTAAGGTTATGATGCTTTGGAAAAGTCCTTCTTTTGTTTTTACAAAGGATAAAACCCTGTGGATTTCTTCTATTCCAATTTGGTATGATAGACCACGCCCTCCTGAAAGGTTGCTGTGAACATCCTCAAAAAATTACTTCACTCAACTTCCAACTGAGATGACCCTGGAACACAGGTTATATCATAACAACCTAATTAACGACGCCCCTATCCAGCAGGAAGCAGTTTGGAGAGAAAAACCTATGCCCATGTTCCCAAATATTGTTTATAAATGTTCTTTTACATTTAAAGGGGGATATGATATAGATATGAATAATTTGCATTGGTATGGATTTTAAGGTCAATTTTGTTATATGTATATGTATTTTTGATCTTGATTAAGGTATTGTGATTGTGTAGTTCATTTTAAAATGTAATGTATAATTAGGAAATATAGGTTGCTAATGGATAATCATCAATAATAGTCAAGCTTGTAGTCATGTTAGTTAGATTTTCTAGATATATAGAGATATATTTCAGTTAGATAGGCATTCTTCATATCTTTCGAAGGCTACAGAATATGGCATTTAAAATATTTTAATAACTTAGGACTTTTCATGACAAGGAGACACGTCTGCTCCTGGCAGCACCAGCTACTTCAAGAGGAAGATGGGCATCGAAGAGGATCCTTATGGAGTTTGATAGCCATTTGGGCAAGAAACTGTTCTTGCCTGGACTGTTACATAAACTGGACACAGAGAACCCGCCGAGAGAGGACTGCTGAACTTGCCTAAAGGTGAGATGGTCTTTCGGGGTTCCTGATTCATGAAAGAGTCTGCGAGACATTCTGCAGGACACAGCAGAAAATGACTGAACTGTCTTTGAAATTTCCTGCTTCATGGAAATGTCTCTGGATACCATGGGCCTGTAGGCCGAAGATGGATGCCCCAACGGTACAGAGGAACTTTGGGTGACTGTCCAGGCAGCGAGATGTCTCTGTCATTTCTAGAGTTTTGGACTTCCTGTTTACTTAGGTATTATTATATCCTTCTGGAGTCTTTGATGGAGTTGAAGAATGAATAGTTATTTGTTATAGTTTTCCTTACTTATAAGAGATAAAATAGATATAAATATTGTAACTATAATTCTTGCTTGATAACTGTTTTGTTATATGTAATTTTCCTATGTTAAGTTAAAGCCTTTTTTTTTTTGTTTAAACAGAAAAAGGGGAAATGATGGAGGAAGGACATTGGTTAATTATAATAAAGAAACTGCCTTGGCCCATTTTATTGGATAGAACATAGGTGGGTGGAGTAAACAGAGAGAATGCTGGGAGAAAGAAGCTGAGTCAGGAAGTCGCCATGGTTCTCCCACTCCAGACAGACGCAGGTTAAGATCTTCTCTGGTAAGCCACCTCGTGGGCTACACAGAATATTAGAAATGGGTTAGAACAATATGTAAGAGCTAGCCAATAAGAAGCTGGAACTAGCCAGGCCAGGCAATGTTTAAAAGAATACAGTTTCCGTGTAATTATTTCGGGCATAAGCTAGCCATGTGGGCGGTCGGGTGCCGGGGAAGCAGCCCCGCCGCTCCTCCTTCAACATACCACTATGCCCAGTATCGTGTAAGGCTAAAGCTCTAGCCCAGGGCTTCATGCATGGTTTGCTCCACGCACTTCATCCCCAGCCAGATGAGTCTCAGCAGTGTAGAGAAACTCCCTCCCCCTCCCCCCGCAGGCCTGGCGACTGTGTACGGGCACACATGTTCCACACATTCTCACAAACTACACATTTACACCTTTACCTTGCACACATGAGCAGACGCACCATTGAAGGTGCATCTTGGTACATGCCTGTAATCCCAGCACCGGGAAGGCTGGGTCAAGATTAAAGCTAGCCCGGGAAGCACAGTACGACTATCTCAAAAAGAACAAAGTACAGCACTTCATAGCTTGCAAAGGTCCTTTCACTTTTCATCTCATTTGATACTGAGGGATGGAGAATAGTCTCTGAGTTGTATGAATTCCATAGACCTTCAGGAGGCCAGCAGTGAACACAGGGCCTCTGCGTTCCCTGGATCCAGGCTAGCAGAGTCCAGTGTCAACAGAATCTCCAAGAAAGGTTTAGCCCCACTCCCCAGACCCACCCATTCACTGCTTCTCCTCCCCTTCACAAGTTTGTTCAGCGGGGTCAGCTTCAGGTTGCATTGTGTTTTGGCACCCTTCTTGCTTGTTCCTGCCAGGGTGCCTGCGGGGCTCTGAGAACCCCGTCCAGCCCCTCCCCAGGGACCCTCTGGACTCTTCATAATTTGACAATGAACTGGTTTTTGGTTTTGTTTTGTTTGCTTGTTTTTTGAGACAGAGTCTTACTGGCCTGGTGGAAAAGGCTGGTCTTGAACTCACAGAGGTCGCCTGCCTCTGCTGGGATTAAAGGCCTGTGCTACACCATCCAACACAGAGCGGTCTTTAAATACTCGGCTACTAGAATTCAGTTAGACATTGCCCCAAGTAAGTTCAGGCCTAGAGACCTGGAGGTGGTGGCACAATTCTTTAATCCCAGCACTCTCCCAGCACTCGGGAGATAGAGGCAGGTGGATCTCTGTGAGTTCAAGGCCAGCCTGGTCTACAGAGCAAGTTCCAGGACAACTAGGGCTGTTAAACAGAGAAACCTTGTCTCAAAAAACAAAATCAAAAACAAACAAAACAAACAAACAAGCAAAAAAGAAGTCCAGGCTCAGGAAGGAAGAATGTCTTGTGACATCCCGAACTCTAACTCAGATTTCTACAGCTGCAAATCTCCAAATCCTGTCTCAGTATTTCACGGCCCCACCCAAGGCACAGTCAGATCCCCACGGCCCCATCTCCTCCACTCGAGGCCTGTGTATAGCGCAGTTCTGGGCAGAACTGGGTAGAGGAAACGAGAAGGAAGGAGGCCCCCACACCCACCCACACCTGCTCAGCACCAGCCGGGGCTGCAGTGGTGTGCACGGGGGCCAGCCCCTGAGGAGAGAAGCACTGTTACCTGGGAAATTCACCCTGCTTCGGCACCTCCCGCTATTCATGAGAGTTGGAGTAAGCCGGACTCCTGGAGCAGACCCTGCCACCGAGTTCCTGGGCCACAGAGGGCAGGAGTCTGGGAGGTGGCAGATGAGGAAACTGGTGTTGCAGGAGGGGAAGTGACACTGTCTCAGGGAGCTCCGAGCGGCAGGACCAGAACTCGATCTGGAGATCTTGCTCAAGTGTCTGGCACAAAGCTGACTGGGAAACTGCCCAGATAGGAGCCAGTCACCCCATCTCTGCGTCCTCACCCAAGCAATGTGCACCGTTGGACTATCTGTTTTGCCCAAGGGATGCTGGGAGGATGGAGGACTGGACACAAGGAGGCTCCTAGCTACACATCAGCTCCGCTCCTAGTCTCTCTTGAGTTTGGGCACAGCCTTGCTCCTGCTCATTACTGCCGCAGGGAACAATTACCGTGGTTTCTCAGCCCATTAAGAGAGATCCAGACCCCCAGATTAACAAATCGATTGTCTGTGACTCCAACCATGCAGGTCCAGACACCACTCCCACAGGACTAAGAATGGATCCTCAGAGGGAGGGAAGCTTGGAGGAAGGGCAACACCCGGGTAGCTCTCCCCATCCCTAGCCTCAGTCCATACTAGAGGTTGGGCAGGACCAGGAGGCAACGGGGCCTTGACTGGCCTGGGCGGCCCCTCCCTGCCAATGGGATTATTCCTTCTCTCCTTCCTCTTCTTGTTCACATGTCCCACGCCCCTGCTCTTTTCTGGTGGCATCAAGATGAGGGGAAGGCAAAGCCAGGGCTCCGGGCTGAGGGGTGCGTTGTAGAGAAGAGTGTAGAGCCAAGATCCAGGGGCCTCAGGCGGGCACAGCAGGACTCCCTAGGTACCACCTCCTAGTTCTCTTTGGAGAAGCCCACCCAGTCTGGAGGAAGCAGGAGAGGAGCTAAGGCCAGACTGCTTCAGTTCCAAATGCCAATGCTTTGATTTGTGTGCCCTGAGCCTGCCGTGCGGGCCGAGAGAGCCTAGCACCAGCACAGGAAGATGAGTCTGCACACGACTGGTCCCAGCCTGCCCCATCCCCTGGGCTCCAAACTAAGTTCATTTCCTAAGCCCCAGAGGCTGATGGCTCCTTCCCGCTAACCCAAGCATAGTATAACCTCAACAAGTGTCCGTCCCTCTCTGGATCGTGGTTCTCCCGTCTGCACGATATAAAATCAAATTAAATCAAATCAAATGATGATGATGATGACGACTGAAGTGTCTGCATCTTGCTGCTGTCATGAAGAGTGGTCACCACAGCAACACAAGGGCAGTGTGCAGGCCAAGATAATAGACCTCGGAACAGGCCTGTTCTCTTGCTGGGAAATACATTGTCTTCAGAGAAAAAGATGCCGCCACTCCCAACAACAGGAGGCCACTGACAGGAAGATCCCTCTCCCCCGAAAGGGTCACTGGGAGCAGGGCCACAGCCCCAAAGTATCCGAGGACCAGGCTCTCAGGGGGGAGAGAACATGGAAGCCAGTGTGGAGGAAGGCTGTGTACACACATGTGTGGGGCCAGTCAGCATGTGGATTCACAGTGTGTGGGGTGGAGTGCTTGCCTGTGCTGCCCACACACCTCACTCTGGTGTGCCCTGGGGCCCTGAGCCACAATCAGGGGGCAGCCCAGATGTCATGGGAGATTTGTAAGGTAGCAGACTCCTTGACAAAGGCAGATGCACAAGAGAAGGAGGAAGGCTCAGAGGGCCAAGCAGGCTTTGCCAGTTCAGTCCTGGATATGGCCTCCTCTGGAAGGGTCAAAGCCCCACTGTCCTTAGACCGTTAGTGGCCTTTCACATGTCTTCTCTGGCCAGAATCATCCGTCGTAAGTCATGTGCTCCCATGAGAGCCCCATCCCTGATGAACTCGGGTCTCCCTGCTGACCTTCCTTGGGTACATTTTCCCTGTCTAGAAGTATGCTCTCTACAGCAACAGGTGAGAGCTCTTTCTTGCCCACCCAGAGCAGGAACTATGCCAGTGCCACTGGCAGGGACACTCCCTTGTATATCCTAGGATCTAAGACCTCTATCCAGCAGCTCTTGCTGCCCTCAAGGTATGAGAGGGACATCACTATCTTCAGTGTTCTGTCTGGAACAAGAGAGATGTAGCCCTGGGTGTTGGCACTACTTCAAGCTCTTGGCTAGTAAGCTAGGTGGTGTACTCAGACTGGGAGGCGGTGGGGTGCTCTGGCCGAGCCGTCCACTCCTCGAACCCATCCAAAGATCCAGGGGCTACTGTGGGCCGTCTTAGGGAAGTACAGGCACCTAGCCGAGGAACAGGGAGCCTGTGCCCATGGCGTAACCCCGCTGAAGCATGTCCATCACACGACTCAGTTCACAGGTCTACAGCACACGTGCACCCACATACGTGTACATACATGTCCAGCCCAACCCACACAGGGTTTAAGCTTAGTTCAGCAAGATGATGCAAGGCTCTGGCAGAACCAGGAAAGAGATGAATGGATCCGAGATCTCACGGTGCTGCCAGACCCTTGCTCCCTCACACGCAGGCCATGAGGCTTCCCTCAGAAGGTGATCCTCACATACCCATTCAGTCGCTGGTGCAAAGTAACGTGCTAGACCTGGGAGAGGGTTCGATGGGCAGAATCTTACTGCACAGCCTGGCCTCAGTTCAGAACCCACATAAAGAGCCACAGAGGGTGGAATGCATTGTAGCGCTGCAGTGAGATGGGTGGCAATGGCAGGAGAGACAGTGCAGCCGCAGAGACAAGGAAGTTGTCCTCCCGCCTCCATGTGTGCACCGTGGCACAGGTGTATGTGTGCACACCAATGTGAAGATGAATGACATCTTTAAAAGCTAAGGAAGTCACTCTGCATTCTGGAGTTCAAAGGACAGAATGTGGGCTAGTGGGGGCTGTAGAGGGGAGAGGGCCGTTCCCAGGCCGAGGAGGCAGAGGAGGCTCTAGTGAAGTCTCACCCTCCACTGTCCTGCTGTCTGTGCTTGGTGGGCTCTTCTGGAAGACTTAGCAATGAGCAAGAGTACTGCACCGTTATTGCTGAATGTGGTGGTGCCTGCCTATGATCCTAACACTAGGGAGGCAGAGGTCCATCTGGGCTAAATATGGAGACCCAATCTCTGTACGGAGCCCAGCTCAGAATCCAGCCGCTGGGGAACTCAGGGTGGGCACGAGGGCACAGGCACTAGCCCAGGCTCCTCCGTTCCCTTCTGAAACTATTGGAGGATCCTGGCCACAGATCAGCTCAACCTCAGTCGACTAACAGTGTGAACTTTGTGTGAGAGCTGCAGGCTCCAGCCCTGACCTAACTTAGCAGAAGGCATCTCTAACATCTGAGGAGCTTAGCTGCAGGATGCTCCAGAGTCAGCTCCTCCCCAGAGGCTCTCCGCGACAACACTCGGGATGGGATGAGACTGGCCCAGCTAGCCTTCCCATACTAGCCAAGGGAGCTGCAGTGTTAGCTTCACTGTTCTGGGAGATTTGTCTGACACTCTCAAAGCTTCAAGTGGCAGATCAGGGATCTGAGCATAGTGCTTTGAACTGGTCCATGTCGTCCCATTTGAGCAGTGTCTCATGACTCGTGCTGCTGGAGAGACAATGGGAAAAAGGAGAAAGTCCAAGAAGCCAGTGGACTCTCTCAGAAGAGTTGGTCATTGATTGCTTTAGATTTACTCCACTCCTGTCCAGAAAGAGCTGGATGGCTCGGACAATAGCCAAGTGTACCACATGATCCCATCAAAGGCAGAAACACAGGCTAAGATGGTAACCAAATATTCTAGAAGCCAAAGTGAAAGAGAAAAACTCCCAGATAAAAAGAAAGCAAATATTTGCTTGAGGGGGTGGAGCCAACCATGGGGATAATCCTGTGTTTATTGGGAAGGCACCACAATCAGTTAAACATTAGTGAGCTTCAGTTGCCAGAGATAGACAGACAGACAGACAGACAGACAGACAGAGAGACAGATAGATGATAAATGTTAGATAGATGATAGATAGATTGACAGATGATAAAGATAGAGATGATAGATGATAGATAAATAGATAGATAGATACATAGACAGATGGATGGTAAATGTTAGATAGGATAGATTGATTGGATGATAAAGATAGAGATGATAGATAGGTAGATAGATAGATGGATCGATAGATGATAGATAGATAGATGATAGGTAGATAGATGATAGATAGATGATAGGTAGATAGATGGATTGATAGATAATAGATAGATAGATGATAGGTGATAGATGATAGATAGATAGATGATAGATAGATAGAAAGATAGATAGATGATAGATAGATAGTAGATAGATAGATGATAGATAGATAGATGATAGGTAGATAGATGGATCGATAGATGATAGATAGATAGGTGATAGATAGAAAGATAGATAGATAGGTAGATAGATAGATAGATAGATAGATAGAGACTACCACAGGGTACAGGGAAAGGACAAGGTTGTAACATTTCCAAGTCACCATACAGACTCTCCTACAGTCATTTTACTATCAAGGATGTGTGTTTGATGAAACTTCTAAGGGCTACTGAGCAAGGGCTACTGAGATGGGATAGAAGTTTTTTACCTTGAACCAAAGAACGTTCTGAAGAACGTAAGAGAAAGTCCTTTGCTGAGCTCTGAAGATCTTTGTGTTCTGTGAGGGGTATCTGTGTGCCCCATGAAATCAGAGCACTGTTTGGAGAAACACTCTAGCCGCCTTTCAGTTTTGCCTCGGGTGATTGGTGGGGACTCTAGGGCCCAGGAGCTTTTCAGGAAGAAGGCTGAGTGGCCCATGGGATTGAAGGGCTTTCCTCTTTCTGTCTGGGGTCCTGGGCTTGGGGATGAAGGCCCTGGTTACAGGGCAGGAATGACAAGGTGATGGGCCTTCAGGAGAGGCTCACTCACAACAGGACTCTTCACGGGAGTTAAGTGAAGAACTAAAGAATGCATAAGATCGAGTGCTTGGGGGTCTCCAATTGAGTCCAGGAGCCGAGATGCCCGTGCACTGGCTTGGAAGGGTTCTTTGTGATTCTCTTCCGATGTCCCTACTTTCTAGCCCTCCGGCGAGGTCAAGGTTAGCCATGAGGAATGGGGAGTGTGCCATGGTCAGAGTCATGGAGGGTTCAATAGACAGAGCTCACTAAGGGTGTGTGTGGCATGCAGGTGCTACACATGGAAGGGTTTGTGTGCTACAGGGCCTTGTCCTGTGGAGAGACCTGAGCTGGACCTGCAGCCATGACACTTTGGTAGTTCCCACCATGGAAGCCCTGCTTCTGCTGCCAAAGCCAAATGCAGTTACCTGTCACCAGGTGTCTCTCCACCATCCACTACGTGGCACGTGCACCCCTCACAAGTGCCCGCAAGGCACAGCTTGCTCCCTTGCCTTGTCTGTCTGTCTGTCTGTCTGTCTGCTGCCCCCCCCCCCCCCCACGATGACATGCCCTTTCATTCTTTTAGCCCCCCTGCCCCAGTAAACCTCTTGGACTAACTCTGCTGAGTGGGGCGTGTTTGCTTGGTGGCACATCTTTGCAGGGTCCCACCAAAAGGTACCCACTTTTCATTTTGTTTTTTAATCCTTCCACTCTTACCTCAGGGCACGGCAGGCAGGGGAAGAGCAGGTGTTAAACACAGCTGGAAGAGAGACTGTTAAGTGGGGTGAGTCACCTTGGGTGGTGTCTGTGAAGAATGAGGAGAGCAGCGGGCGCAGCGGCTGTGCTGGAGAAGCCCTGTGCTGGATGGGAGCACAGAAGAAAGGGCGAGGGAGAGGCTGGGGAGGGCTCCAGAGCTGGGATCCCGCCAAGGGTGGAGATAAGAGAACCGATGGAGAGATGCCAGCAGAGCTGGACGGGGAAGCAGGGGAAATGAAGGCAGAGGCCCAGGATGTGTCCAACAGGCTCTTCCTGCCAAAGAGACTGGGGAAGCCGACTGTGGGGAGCCTGGAGCTCGAGCCCCGCCCACTCACCCTTCCCCGGCTATTTTTTACTCCTCGGACCTGGGCCACCCCCACACTCATCCTGCTTCCCAGCTGTGGGACCCAGGACCCCTGCACTCATTCCCCATCTTCAGAGTGTTCCTGCCTGTTAAAGGACAGGACTGGTGTGGAAATACCTGGGGGTGGTGACGCCCAGTC